TTGGCAGATCAATATTCGAGCAGGAGCTCGTCGACAGTTTCTTCATCTTAAGGACAACTTTGTTCGATACCAAACGCACATTTCATCTCCGAGGAAGTCACGTGCGATCTACAATCGACCATACCAACCATATGTAACGCCCATGCGTGTTCCCGAAGCTTTTCACTCAATTTATGGAAATCTCAAAGGCATCCACGCGATGTGGTTCCTGTCCCTTAGTCAGACAGCTAGGTTAACTCAAGTCATCACTCCTCACCTCGAAGCAACAACTTGAGGGGCTTCTGTTCTGGAATGGACTGGAACCTGCCCCACAGCTAGGCAAGGCCCAATCCAGTCTAAGCTTAAGGCCAGGCCCAATATAGACCATGGGGCACAATATAGCCGTTGGGAACAACATAGTTGTTGGGCACAATATAGCCATTGGGCACAATATAGCCGTTGGAGCACATAGTTATTGGAAACATGCCCCCTATGCGCTTAACAGTTCACGCGACCAACTGCCCCTCCGAAAGTCACAGAGGCAGTTGAACCAGGTCAAAATCATGCGCTAGATCTTCCGCCTGGCAGTTCCTCATTGGCCGACCAGATATTTCGATCACATGGGAGACCTTGTCCCTGCGCTAGGGGGAATCTTATAAATACCCTCTCTCTTGAGAGGGTTAAGTATTATAATCATTCTCACTCATACCTAAACACTCGTATTTGCTTTCTCTTTTTAGCCTAAATACTTACTTTGGCATCAGAGTACCTTACAGGTACACCCCTTTCTCTCCTACAACCACTGTTGCTGCCCTACATTGAAAGCCAAGACGGTCCATTCTGATCACTCCAGATTATATATGAAGTGTTACAAAAATCAAATTAATTATTAACTTTGTTGAGATATAAGTCAAGTGATCATTGGTTGAATCAATATGTCACTAATATATTAAGTATTTATACATTCATATTGTTCTAAGCACCAAAAGTTTGCATATCATAGTGACAATGTTGCTTTTTTTACCTTATAAAGTGGTGGATCAATCGATAAGGGTTCTTAGCCACAACTATCATGTTTTCTTTGAGTCTCTTAATGCCTCATAATTTTGAATGACAATAATATGTAATTTTTGCATTTCCAATGTGGAATCGTTTTAGAAGTCTATATTTAACATGCATAGCTTGAGCCCAACAATCTCAACCTTAAATCCCTGTCTTTTTACCTATTCTTCACAAGAGCAAGAATAGATTACGTCACTTTAGATCTTGTATTTGTTTCTTGGTCTTATCTCAATGGTGAAAGTGCATTTATCTTCTTTTTTAATACTTCTTTTTCATTTTGTCCTCTCATGCGTCTTTTTTCTTTTTCGTTTATTTTCTTATGCGTTTCTGAGTATTATATTTTTCTAGTGAAAGATATTTGTTCCTTAAGCAAGTTTATCTACAAATTATGTGCCTAGTTTTACTGATTTATCATTGGTTGAATCAATATGTCACTAATATATTAAGTATTTATACATTCATATTGTTCTAAGCACCAAAAGTTTGCATATCATAGTGACAATGTTGCTTTTTTTACCTTATAAAGTGGTGGATCAATCGATAAGGATTCTTAGCCACAACTATCATGTTTTCTTTGAGTCTCTTAACGCCTCATAATTTTGAATGACAATAATATGTAATTTTTGCATTTCCAATGTGGAATCGTTTTAGAAGTCTATATTTAACATACATAGCTTGAGCCCAACAATCTCAACCTTAAATCCCTGTCTTTTTACCTATTCTTCACAAGAGCAAGAATAGATTACGTCACTTTAGATCTTGTATTTGTTTCTTGGTCTTATCTCAGTGGTGAAAGTGCATTTATCTTCTTTTTTAATACTTCTTTTTCATTTTGTCCTCTCATGCGTCTTTTTTCTTTTTCGTTTATTTTCTTATGCGTTTCTGAGTATTATCTTCTTTTTTAATACTTCTTTTTCATTTTGTCCTCTCATGCATCTTTTTTCTTTTTCGTTTATTTTCTTATGCGTTTCTGAGTATTATATTTTTCTAGTGAAAGATATTTGTTCCTTAAGCAAGTTTATCTACAAATTATGTGCCTAGTTTTACTGATTTAGTCAAATTTACAATCGATTTGTAAACATCGTCATAAATTTGATTGAAAATTTATTGTAATGATTGAATTAGACTCCAGTGTATAACATTCATAAACCAATTCAATAACTAGTCTAGTTTTTGTAACCATAAATTTTCCTTCTCTGTGTCACCGATTCAATAAACCAATTCAATAACTAGTCTAGTTTTCCTTCTTTGTGTCACCAACTATATGTATACTAACCTAAACAACACTCATTTTCTTTTTCGCGATATTCTTGACGATTTTATTCCTAATTTTGTATTGCAGCTTGTTTGACTATTTTCATATATGGTCATTAATATTATTTAGATACAATTATTTAGAAAACTTATATTATTTTTTAAATTATGCTTTTCCTTTAAATTCAACTATATTTGCTAGCGATAGATCTAGTGAGCATGCACGATAATTATAAGAATCATTTCTAAATTTTATTATAGATTTATGATGAGTTTGACAAAACAAAGGTATTATTATATGCAAGTGACTTGGCTACCACAACCAACTTATTATAATAATTTTATCCTAAATTATTATATGTAAGTGGCTTGACTACCACAACTGACTTGTGATTTTATTGATAGGATGACTAGGATTTTTTGGTGGAAAGATAATTTAAACTATGGTGTGCATCTCGTTTGCTAGAATAAAATCACTAAGTCCAAAAACTTGGATGATCTTGGAATCTGGAAAACAAGAGAGGTCAATACTTCTATGTTGGGTAAGATGGTTTGGGGTTTCCACCGAGATTATGATTCCCTATGGGTCCAAGCTTTGAAGCATAAATACATTAGTGAGAAAATGTTCCTTAATATGAAAAAAAAAACAGTAATCAGTTACTTGAAATGCAATTATGAAAGTTCTCTCTACTCTTAAAGATGACTTTGAATTTAGATTGGGGGATGGGAATTCATCTTTCTGGTTTTCCAATTAGTCTAAGGTATGGTAAATTAGCGGAGTAAGTTTATTATGTGAATATCCATGATTTGGAAATGCGAGTGAATGCAGTTTACTTGGATGGAAATTGGAACTTCAATTTATTATATACTAATATTTCTCTAGTTGTTTGTGACCACCTGAAAGCGTTTCCCATTTGTTTGAATTCTCTGGTGCCTTATCAGTTAACTTGGAAAGGAAATTTAGATGTTATCTATAATGCTCGGAATGGGTTATAATTGGCTTAACAGACTTGAGTTTGTTTAGAATACAACAGACAATAACTCTTGGAAGTGAGTATGTCATATACTTGCTCTTGAGAAGGTGAAATGCTTCCTTTGGATGGCTTTATATAAATATCTTCCTATGAGATCGATGTTGTATCATTGTGTTATGCTCTAAGCAAATCTCTATCCTAGATGCAATCAGGACGTTCAGACGACTCTAAACTACCTGAGAGATTGTAAATTTTCTACTCGTTTTTGAAAATTTATTGGCTTCTTGGACCCATTATTCTCTCAAGGGGTAGTTTATATGATTGTATTAGACATGACATCGATGGTGGATATATCTTTTTTGTTGCTTGTTGGTGGTTGTGACGCGTTAGGAACAAACTGTATCTTGCGAATGAAGTGATATCTTCCTATACTTTGAAACTCGTCACAATGAGTTATACTATTTTGTTAGTTAAATATTTTCTCAGGCATAATCTATCTCATTCAACGAGAACGACCGTGTGGAGTGCACACAAAGGTAAGAATATGATTTTGAATATTGATGGCGGTAGTCTCGGTCATTCCAACGTCTCAGGTTTTGGTGGATTAATTTGAAATGCTGACGATGTTTGGGTTCACAGTTTTGCAAATAGTATTGGTAATTCCAACATCCGTCATGTTGAGCTAATGGCGTTATATGATGGTTTGAGTGTGACCTTGGAACTTGGCATCAAATACCTAGTGTGTTATTCAGACTTCAACTTTACTATCAAACTTATCTCAAAATTTATTAATATTTGACATCACTAAGTCGTAATTCTTCACAACATTGAAGAGTTTTTCTATAGAAAATGACGAGTTCAAATATTTGATATTCTTAAAGAGAGGTGTTTGTGCTGACTATCTAACAAAATATGAGACTGATAATGATGTGGTATATCAGTCTTTTGCGAAGTCTCGTGTAAGAATCATCACTCTCCTACTAATTGATGCTAATAAGACTTTATTTTATAGATAAATTATTCTTTTTATCTTTTCCATTTTCCACTTAAAAAAAAACAAGGGTATTGTCATAATTTTATTAAAAATTTATATATTCTTTTATAAATTTAATTAATTGTGATTATGCCAACTTTACCCTTAATTAATTGTGATTATGCCAACTTTACCCTTAAGTCCATGTTTACATACATCCCAACAAAGTTTAGCGTTTAGATTTGCAAATTTAAACTGTAGCTTTGTCTCCCGCTCACTCACATTCACTCAGTCATACGACTCCGCTTTTACTATTATCTCGCTTTCACTCTTTTCTTCTTCTTCCATTTCCACACTCTACCTTTCTGTACTTCACTTTCTCTCTCATCCTTCTCTCTCTACAATTCCCATGAAATATATATACATTACCTTTGACTCGATATTCAATCGATGCACATTTAGCTTATAGCTTCACTTCAACTCACATATTTCTACCAATTTTCACTACCATGCCGCATAGATCTGTTTTTGTGTTTTCCTTCACCATTGTTACAAAAAACTAACCTATCAATAAATTAAAATATTATAAATTTTTTTATAAAAGTTTATTTATTTATTTATTATTAAAAAAATAAAAACTCTTCCTTTTAATTGACTATTAATATTTTTTTCCTTGTTTTAATTGATAAGAATTGTTTTATTTATTTATTTATTTTATTAAATAGTGAATTGTGAATTGTGCAGTGTAGGAAGGAAAAATGAGTAAAGAAAATGTCGAGAATGTTCGGGTGACTCGAGCAAGGGCTAGAGCCATGAAAGCCTCTTCAACAAAGGAACCAGCAGCTGTTAGACTGAGGGATGTGACTAACATTTCAACAAAATCATCGAACAATAATAAGCGAGTTCATACGTCAAATTTGCAGGTATAATAAATATGCAACTTTGTATTTTTTTTTATATTAATATTATTATTATTCGGATTGATTTGTTCATCTGCATTTGATCTTTGATTTAGTGTATGTGTAATTAATTATGATATGTTAGGTTGATATCGAGTATAATTGATTATATCTTTTAGAATTTATTTTGCTTGAATCTAAGATTAATTAGAATGGACTGATTCAACTAATTTTTGCAGGAATTTATCTAATTATAATTTATTTATTTTCAAGTTGCTTTTAACTAGAATCAGTTATATCAAATCAATTCACTCAAAATTAATTTGTCTTTACCACAAAACCAAACACTGGTTTAGTTTTTGATTTAAAAATTGAGTTTGAAGTGAAATAATTTATAGGAATATATATCGGAGTGTTACAACTCATTAAACATTCGGTGAACAAAATTAAAATTTCATTTACCACTTGGTAAATTATGTTTCATAATATAATTGCTCCTTTTAAAATTTAGTGAAAATTTTTTATTTTTTCATTTGCAGATTTACTAAATCATGTTTGCAGTAAAAATGACTTTTTTTTTAACTGTCCGTTCGCGTCGCAAAATTTAATATTGCAGCAAAATGCCGACCACAATTGTCATTTTGATAATGTTGTGGAGACTTCTAAAATCTTTATATTGTGGCCGCGGTTTAAAACTATTTAAATTTATATTTCGTTTATAACAAGTTGTCAAATATCGGCCATGGCGTCATGTGGCGACAGCATGACGCCATGGTAGATATCAATGACCGTTTTTTGACTATCCATCATGGTCAAATTTGTGAAAGATGGCGATGCCACAACACCATACGTCAAATATGGCAGCGCCATCCATAATTGAGTTGGATTTGTGAATCTGGAGTGAATAATAGATTCATTGGCTATTCTTCAAATGAAAATAATTTCTTGAACTAAATTGCTTGTTTAGATGATTTTTTTAACTAGTGATTCGGTGATATTGTTCATTATATAGAAGAATGAAGTTTGTAAGAAGAGAAAGACCAAGGTAGCATCAGAAGATAATGCCTCCTTACATGTTTCGAAAACCAAAGAGAATGCTGAGACGGAGTTGGCTAAAGATTCTTCCACATTCACAGAAACAATGAAAGATTCATTGCAACTGAAAGTTCAACCTTATCTGGTTGTTCCCATGCTTTCAATGCAGGACTCTGTCAAATCTCCAATTGAAGGTTTTTCAACTATCTCATTCGATTTAATTCAATATGACGCGTCAGCTATCATATCGAACATGCCTTCAATATGAAGTGTTGGCGCCACAATTGCTAATATTTTTATCTTGATTGGACTATGCAGATATAAATCTGATATGTGAGAAACTAAGAACCTCGGTTGGCTTTGGAGTTGTGGACATTGATTCGGAGGCAAAGGATTCTCTTGTTTGGACTTCTTATGCCCCTGATATATACTATAATATTCATGTCAGAGAGGTTTGTGTTGTAAAATGTCTTTTTTTTCTTCATTTCTTTTGGACTATAGCTATTAATACTGTGCTATAAATGTTCAATCCTTGTTACTCATTGTTATGATAAAATTCCAACTGCTTCTCCTTTTCTGACAGTGTGAAAAAAGGCCACTAGCCGACTACATGGAAAAGGTGCAGCGGGACATCACTCCAACCATGCGGGGAATTCTGGTTGATTGGCTTGTGGAGGTTAGTCTCATTATAATATTAGACTCCATTTGAATAGACAACTTAATTAAGTGCTTATAGAATAAGCCCTTTAATATTAGTATTTATATTATTACTATAACAAATAGTATTGTCGGTTGAACCGCATCAAGTTTTGGTTGTTGAATGGATTTGTTGGAACGTTATTATATTCTGTTTCAGGTTTCTGATGAATATACGCTAGTTCCAGACACACTCTACCTTACAGTGAATCTCATTGATCGATTCCTATCCTGTCGCGTGATTACAAGGCAGAGGCTCCAGTTGCTTGGAGTTACTTGCATGCTGATTTCATCGTAAGTACAATACTTTGTAGTTTCCTTTGTACAAAGTTTCGATCTCGAATGCATTTGATAAATTTGATATGACAACAGATAATGTACCATGTTTTTTTTCGTTATCACAAGGAAATTCTGAGTTACTCTTTTTTTTTTCTTTCATGGCTTGAAGTAAGTATGAAGAGATCTGCGCTCCCCGACTAGAAGAATTTGTCACCGTCACAGATAATACATACTCGAAAAAAGAGGTATAAATAACATTTGGTATTATTACTGGAAACTTCATCTTTTCGATTTGTGTTCATAATGACTGATATATGAAACACCGAACCATTGACTCTTGATAGATATTGAAAATGGAGAAAGAGATACTAAATGTTCTGCATTTCCAATTATCTGTTCCTACAATCAAAACATTTCTCAGGTACATTATACATATACAATTTTTGTTCAAACATAGTTTAAATTCAATGCAACTCTAACCTGATTTTTGGCTTTCAGGAGGTTCATCCAAGCAGCACAATCTTCTTACAAGGTATTTAATATAGACTCTACTTGATATTGAATATTTTGAAAGTGATTCTTTGACAACAAGGAATCTTCCTAAAGTGCTTCAATCATGTCAATTATGCAACCAAGTTAACAAAGTTGGGTTGATTGTACTTTTTTTTCCTGTTATCAGGTTGCTTATCCTGAACTGGAATTCATGGCAAATTATTTGGCAGAGCTTACACTTGTTGAATACAGCTTCTTGCAGTTTCGACCTTCCAAGATAGCTGCATCTGCAGTTTTTCTCGCCAGATGGACCCTCGGCCAGTCAGAACATCCATGGGTCTGAACTTTATTTTGAGCACTCAACTTTCACTTTTACAATTAGCCTATTAGTTTTGACTTAAAACTAATCTAACTAGATTCACATGTGCATTGATTTGTAGAATCAAACTCTTGAGCACTATACAAATTACAAAGTATCGGAGCTTAAAACTACTGTCCTAGCACTGCTCGATTTGCAACTTAATACCAAAGGCTGTGGTTTGAAAGGTGTCCGCGAAAAATATAAACAACATAAGGTTTGAAATTCATTTTTTTCTGTTCTTTCACTAGTCTTTATCTCTCAGCTTTTCGTGACAGTGATTTTGGCTTCCTATGACAGTTCAAGAGTGTTGCAGATTTTTCTCCGAAACCAGTGGAACCTCTTTTCTAGGTTCAACTGTATAAGTTAAAGAATAAAGAATGCATTTAGGAAATTTCTGAATAAACATATGGAAGGTGAAATTATATCAGATTGTAATAACTATTTTGCAATCAAATTTTGATGCTATTCATTTCCAATTACGGTCTATTCTATTCCGTAGTTGTGACTTGTAGAGGAAGGTACCAATCTCTGGTGCTTCTTGATCTCCTTGTAGTGAATGATTCAAATTACAGAAGGAATTGTAATAATAATAATGTTACTGTTGTATTGTTACAAACATTCTTATTTATATTACAATAATAAGCAATTGTCTATCATATTAGCAATTTGATTTCTTTTCGTTATTCGCAAAAGACACTAGTTGTTGCCAAACTGATTGCTTACTGAACTAGACATGCTCTGGAAATATTGTCTTCAAAGCAAACATAATTTCATAAGTTGATCTTTCTAATGGATTCCAGTTTTCGCACGAGTCTCTCTCTAAAACAAAAGCTCTGGTCGTTGTTAAACAGGCTCTCAGGTTAGTACTTGTATTTAATGGAGAGCAACTGAGGATTATAATGTAAGGTACATACACAGAAAGAAGATACTACAAACAAGCTTCTTATACATATAATCGTTCGTTTGATCCACAACAACTGCTTGGTCCTTTTCATCGCTGTCCATTTTGAAAAATTACATACCACAGTAGTAATCAAAACAGTGTCACAAACAACATCTTGCTGCCAGAAGTAACACCGTCGCATCCAAAACCGAAATGCCTCCTTGCAAATCTCGAGGATTCCATAGCTGCATGCAGTTTATGTCATCAAAGGAGACACTAAAACAGCTGTATTTCCAATTACAGGCTTGAGACTGGCTGCCTGCTCTAGCTGTTTCCATGCTTCCTTTCGTTTTTCGGCTTCTGAGATTAAAATTGCTTCTTCTTCCATAAATTGAGTATGGCAAGATATGAAAAGCTTCTCATCCATCTCCAAGAACATCTTTCTAATGTTGTGAGTTAAATTTACAACTGCTGGATTCCAGTGGCTTTTAATATTCCTATCTAGTGCTGGAAAGATGATCGGCAGGATCACTTGACGGTTATGAGCAATCAAATTTACAATGTGGTCGTTGTTCCATAGGAAAAGGGTCCTTTCAGCTACCTGAAACAATCATCGTAGAACAGGAAAAAATGTATTTTTCATCAATGGAAACAACTGATTCTTAAAACACATAGTAATATTTAACTTGTTCGAGAAAATGAGTGAGCATATAGCACCATTTACCTGAAAGTGTAGGCTGTTAATGCAGCACGAAATCCGCAAAAACAGTGGAATCATGATCCTCTGGAACTCTACCATGTTGATTCCTTCCAAAATTTCTTCCAATTCCCCGAGAAACATCACTTCTTTCTGACTATTTATTACTGGCCAATATTTTAACAGACCACTTATAACAATGCTCGCTAACTTCGGCTCCTTCTCTAAGAACTGCGTAATACAGAAGGACAGTTGCTGAAAATACACCCCCAAAGATTTCGGCTTGTGCAAGGGGATCAGAACTCTCCACAAGAAGATTTTGTGTTCCTCTTTCAAGGGTAAAGCAAATCCACAAATCACACTGCCAAAAATCTCCAACAACTCGGCAATCCCGTTATGTTTCTCGGTCTCAATCACGAATCGGTAAAATATATTGTTAATTGTTTTCCGAATAAACGGTCTATGCACCATGAACTTCCCATAAACCCTATGCAGAATTGTCTTCAAACAGTCTCTTTCTCTTGGGTCCTCGGAATCAAACAGTTCAAGCAATTTCGAAATGAACGAATGATCAATATACCTCTTTGCTACCTTAGCATCGAGGCTCGAAGAAGAGATAAACTTAAGCAGCAATTCATAAACAAGTTGCAAATGTGGCCAAGCTGGATCAAACATTGGGTCATCATCATCGTTCTCACCACCACTAGCAACAACTCCATTAACCCTATAATTAGGCGGAAAAACCCTAAACAAATTAATAGCACACATTCTACACATTGCAAGAATAGCAGGTTCACTAAACTTCATTGATCCACAAGCCACAAAATCAACAAGCTCAACCAAAGTTTTCCTTTTCACATCTTTATCAGCAATGTTCTTACCAGGGTCAGTGAAATCAAATGTCACACAACAAAGACTCAATTTACTCACAAACAAGTTCATCTTTTCAGCATTCGGAACATCCTTAAACGGCACCAAAGGTTCAATCCCAGAAACCATGCTAGCCGGAAACACTGCCGATGAAGAAGCGCGTTTCAACGAAGCAGCGCCACCTTGCTGTCTATTGTGGCCTTTACCAGCGGTACGTGGAGAGTCTCCAACTCGGGTCAACTCATCTTCATCGATTTTGGAAGATTTCCGAGGAAGCTTGTTGAAAAGTTGCTTCAGCATTGCAACCCAGAAGCTGAAATCCACTAATTCCAAAGCTTTTGCATCAAACCCATGAAGAAACAATCAAAATCAACCAAACCCCGAAAAAATTGCTAACTCTGAAACAGAAAACCCTAGATCTCGTTCACCTAAACAACTACGGACTTCAATCAATCTATATTTCCACCTGAAATTGAGATCCACATTTGAAATAGGGTTCAAGAAATTCTCAATCTTAAAGCATGCATTGATGTAAAAATCAAATCTTGAAGATTGTGGTTCGTGTGTTACGAAGAACACGTGAACCAAAAGAGGAAAGGTAAAACCAGAGAACAACAACAATAACAAAAACAAAAGTTTGTTACGAATAAACCGAACAATAACAATAAACAACAACAACAAACAATGATTACGATGATAATGTTACATCTGAATCAAATCTCACATTGTACCATTTTTTTTCCAATTTTTCTTGGAAATATGAAAATAAAAGAAAAATAAAACAAAATTTTTGGTATATTAATAAAATGATGGATCTAGGAGAAAATGAAATGCATGCAAAGATTTTGATTTTTTTTTTTGGGGGTGATGGATGAATGGAATGAAACGGAACCTCTTAGGTATGGCTTCTTGGTGTTAATGATCCATCACCATTAAAATGAAAAAAGAAAATAAAGGTTATAATGAGTTTTTATTTTTTATTTTATTTTTTAAGGATAATATATTTGTTACTTTAATTCAAAATATGTGAAATTCAATGGACGGCACTTTCTTTTTACTGTTTTCTGTACTTTGCCGCTTATTGTTATTTTCATGGCACGTTTTTCATCATCAAATTATAATGGCAAATGGCTTGTTTTTTTTATAACGGTTGCGTTCGGTTTGACCGTACTAAAAATTGATTATATTAATTTTAATTAAAAATAAATTCAATGTAAAATTATGTATAATTTTTTGGTTACATTTTATGGGGGCATTTTAGATGAGGTGGATAAGTCCTTTACAATATTCTAGAGACAAAAATGATATCTTTTGAGATATTGTTAGTGAAGATAAAGTTTTGGATGAGGTGTTATTTATGAATAGAGTTTTCATGATGGTTGAGTTAATGTATCTTCTCTTATAGTTAAAGAACCTGAGTCGTCTGTCCCACACAAAAAAAGGTGGAACGAACAAGTCTGTCAAGTAGAAATGGGTATAAAAATTTAGTTCGTCTCGCTAAGATGGATAGTTGGCGGGCAGCAAACTTGCCCCCCTACTTTTTTATTTTTTTTATTTTTTTAATAGATTAATAGGCTTGTTTTTACATTTTAATTAGACTTTATAAAGCACATTTTTAACAAATTTTACTTCAAAAAATATTGCATATATTCTTTAAAAAATGTATAAAATAAAACTATGAAGGATTGAAATTACTATAATTAACTAAAAAATAGGCGGGTTTAAGGTGGGACAAGTTGAACGAATAGGTGCGACGGGCTTTCGCGGACGACGAGTTTTGGCGGGGAGGGTTTTAGCGGGTGGTGGGCTTTAGTGGGGCGGACTTTGGTGGGAGATGGGTCCAAAATCCCAACCCAACCCGCCATTTTGTTAGGGGTGCGCGGGTCGGCCCGGCGGGCCACAACCCGTTTTGCCACCCCTAAGAAATCCTCAAAGTGTATTTATTCTACTTCGATCATGCATGTGTATCACCAAAATGTTTTTTTGCTTAATACTGTATCGACTGATTCACATGGAGGAGATAATTATTTTGTTTGATAAAGAGCTGTAAATGATGATTTGAAGACATCGTGGTTGGTGGAGGTCCTTTCTTCAGGACCTTCAATGGAGGGTGACATCTTTACATATTAAAGTTAAGGGATTGAGTTTGTACTCGGTGTCGTACCTCAAAAAATATGATCAATCATGAAGCGTTTTTGCGCTTGTGGAAAATGATATCGAACAGAGTCGCCATCGAACTTTGTTTATTCCAAAGAAGGAAAGGAAAAATATCGATAAAAACCTTAAAAAAGAAAATGGTCGTCGCAACCATATTCGGGTTCGGGAGTCGATCACGTAAGGAGAATGTATTAGCACCCCTCCCGTCCGTTGTACTCAACGAAAACGTTTTAGTTAAATTTGCGATAGAATATTAGCTAATATCAATTGTTTTTTTCAAATGATCAAAAATGTAAAAGGAAAAAAAAAGGGCTCGCAGAAATGTTTTTATTAGGGTGCTTGACGAGATTGTAGGTCTCGTTCCTACATATCCTCGAGTACAATGAGGAACTCTATGCTTCATAGTTCAGGGCAAGATAAAAGATATTTTTGGTGTTTTTTAATATAGTGTTTGACAAGACGATGAATCTCGCTCCTACGTATCTCCAGGTGTGATGGAGAACTCAAGGCTATATAGTTATGGGTAGCAAATGAGTGTTGGTTGATAGATTTTAGTGGACGAATGCTTAAGCCACATTCTAGCGGTTAAACATCGGCTTGTACGCTCGCGCATGGGAGATTTTACGTTTATTTATTTTGCGGTAGAAAGAATCTTGTTTGATTGAGTTCTAGCAGTTAACGTTAATGTATGCTCGCGCATGATAGGGTTAAGCGCTAGTTTGTATACGCGCTAGAATGGACTAAACATTGTTCTTTTGTGAAAAGTTTTGGATCGCACGGGGCGAGAAAAAGTTAGGTTTGGTGTGTTGAGTATTTTGTTGGATGATAGTTGCTCGAATGGTCGAGTAAGGCAAATCCTATCCAAACAATCAAGGAGAGGAATGGAAAGCTCTAGACCATCTCTGTTTTCATCCTTAATTGCAAAAGAGTCTGAATATTATTAGGTATCTTAGATGGACGACGAATACTCAAATGATCGAGTAAGGCAACTCGTATACAAGTACTTGAGGAAGTGAATAGAAGGCTTTAGATCACCTTACTTTTCGTCCAAGTTTTTACGAAATTGAGTTTGATTAAGTTTAATTATGAAAGAGGTTTGAAGTGAATTAGTTTAGAAGTTTTTTTAATGGTTGACGATTGCTCGAATAGTCGAGTAAGACAACTCATATCCAAAAAATTTAGGAGAGGAAATTACTATCATCATTTTTGTGGTAGCAATTTACGTTGTTTTGATCTTACCGTCATCCTTTTGGTGTCGGAGATCTTTGCAGTTATGATCTCACCATTATCCTTTTGTCAAATTGCGGTCTTTGCAAGTTGTGTGTTTATTATCATCCTTTTGGCGATAGAAAATTTTGTTGTTTAATCTTATCGTCATCCTTTTGGTGTCGGCGATCCTTGAAGCTTTGGTTTGTTCATCATCCTTTTGGTGATGGCAACCTCTGAAACCATTGTGTCTTGCAATCATCCTTTTGGTGATAGCAAGTTTGGTTGTTTGATCCTACTTTCATCCTTTTGGTGATGGTGATCATTGAAATTATGTTCTTACTATCATCCTTTTCGTGATAGAAAGCTTTGTTGATTGATTTTACCGTAATCCTTTTGATGTTGGAGATCTTTGCAGTTATGATCTCACTATTGTCCTTTTGTCATTGACAATTTTTGCAAATTATGGCCTTACTATCATCCTTTTGGTGTTGGCAAGCGTCATTGTGATCTAACCATCGTCCTTTTGGTGTTGGCAAGCGTCATTGTGATCTAACCATCGTCCTTTTGGTGATGATGATCTTAGTTATTATGATTGAACCTTCATCCTTTTGGTGATGATAGTTATTGAATACGTTGAGTTAAATATCATCATTTTGGTGATAGCAAGATTTGTGAATTGATCTTATTGTTATCCTTTTGATAATAACAAGCTTCATTGTGATAACTATCATTCTTTTGATGGTAGTGATCTTTAGATATTAATTTAATCATCATCCTTTTAGTGATGGTCGTTATTCTTTTGGTAGTGGCAATCTTTGAGTTATGGATCTTACTATCATCCTTTTGGTGATGTTGACCTTGGTCTTGAAGCCTAATCATCATCCTTTTGGCGATAACAGATGTTAAAGTTTAATTTAACCATCATTTGTTTGGTGTTGGCAATATTTGAAGTCATAGTGAGCTCACTATCATCCTTTTAGTGATAGTCGGGTTTGTTGATCTCACTGATATCCTTTTGGTGTCAACAATCTTTGCAGTTTTGATCTTACTGTCATCCTTTTGGTGTCGGTAACCTCTGTCATTGTAATTTCATCATCGTCCTTTTGTCGATGACAACCTTTGCAAAAGTCATCACACTTTCTTTCTTTTGAGACAAATTTGGAGTCTTTTTCGTATCTAATTGACTTTTACCTTCAAAGTATGAACACTGTGGCAGTTCACCTTATTAGGTTTAAGACAATTAGATAAGAGCAGGTGTCATGCCTCGAAATTGTCCTACCCTTTTATTTTCTTGTCCCAAGCATTTGCACTGTGGAAATTTGACTTAATCTTGATCAAATAAGAAGTGTGCTTTATTCTCAAGTTATCAAGGTTGTGTCAAGATCATTTTGCTTCATGATTGAGAATCATCAGAATCCAATTCATTTCAATTAGGGTTTGGTGCAGTTGCATTGAAGTTCATATTTTAAATCTTGATTCTCTGATCTCAAAGCATATTCATGTGTTCATAATATTGCTCAAGAAGGCTCAAGGTGAAGGTTTTGGTCATCATGATTCAAGTAGCAAAGTTTAAAGATTGATTCATTGGTGGTCTCATTGATTCAAGATCTAGTTCATTCCAAGTCCAAGATTGGTTTATGCTTGATTTTATTTCTCAAGGTTAATTCAAGTTTCATTCATTTCAAGTGAGAATTCAAAAAGTGAAATATAGCTTGTGAGGTTTTGAATCAAACATTGGAAATTCAATTTTAATAGTCATGTCAATAATCAAGAATCAAGTTTAAAGTTATCATGGTTAAATTTTTCAAGCATAGTCTAAAAGTACAAATGGAGGATGAAAACATTATTCAAGTCCATTTACAAAATCAAGTCCATTCATTACCAAAACTATACAAAAAATAAAGGGGCTCATGGAAAAATGACAAAGAATAGGA